GGGGGGGGGGGGGGGGGGGGACATGGTGTGATGGATTTTACCTTTCCGCAACGAAACGGCTTCTGATCAGAGAAACACACTAGATGCGAAAAGCCAGCGAAAACTGAACCATACCCAATCGTTACAGGGAGACACCCTCGTGCATTTCAAGTTTCTGCACAACCCTAAACCCTAAACCCTGGCCCCGATCTGAAACGGTAAGCTAGGCCGGATCCCCGTGATTCTTAGGCTTTTGCTGGCGGCGACCTCAATGCCGTAGGCAGAACCCGAAACCTCCCAAATTTTGGGGGTTCCTTATTATAATTTTACTATAATATAACCCAAAACCCTATTGCAATTACTAAGGCCTCTACATTCTATCCGCAGCCCTTTCGACTAAAGCACTGCTAAAGCTCGGAGTTCCGACAGCAAAGCTAGAACCCCAGCGGCCCAACCCTTTCACGCCAAAACCCTCAACTCCATCTGATCCCGAATATAGGGCCTTCATAATCAGAACAGGGTTTGGGGGCCGATTTGATCATGATAAGGAACCCCCAAAATAGTGTTGGTTATTTTCTAGGACTCCTACGTTACGTTCCTCAGCCCCTCACCGTAAACCTACAACCCCGATCCTGAAGCCAACACCTCTGGCGCCGAGACTTGCTCGCCCAGCTCTCCGGGCAAGCAGGCAAGACAGGGTTTAGGGTTTCGGGTTTAAGGGTTTGAGGGTTTTAGGGTTTTAAGGTAGTTAGGGTTTTAGGGTTTAGGGTTTCCCGAGCTTTCCAGAGCTCTCTCTTGTCGAAAGCTTTGGAGCCTTTCGGTGCTTCGGACTAGGTCGCCCAGTGGGCGTTTGTTTTAGTCTTAGGTTCCTAAGAACACTCCCTAAACCCTAAACCCATAACCCCTAAGCCCCTACCCAATACCAAAAAGGTAGCCCCTTTTTCTTCGAGGCTCGAGGAGCCCTTTTAAATCCCAGGTCACGGATTAGGGTTTTGGGCTACCCTAAACCCAAAACCCTAAACCCTAACCCCTAAACCCTAAACCCTAAACCCTAAACCCTAAACCCTAAACAGAAACGGGGGCATCTCGGGCCTGAGGTTTCGGATCCTTTGGTGAACCCTGACTGAATGGAATTCCACCAAAGATGAGACGGCCAGGTGCTTCAGGAGCTTGTGAAGCTTAGCCAGACTCCTGCCAGGGGGCAGACCTTTGTGGTTTAGGGTTTAGGATATAGGGTTCTAGATCAGAGAGCAGGAACTCGAAAGCTGGGTCTGGAAATTATGGAGCACACAACTGTGGAGCATCAAAAACTTCCATGCAACACGTTATACAAAACCGTTGGGGCACGGTGAGAACAGTGACAAATGTCAATGCCCGGGTCCAAACGCACAGGGTCCATTTCACTTATCTTCAGATCAACATCCGCTAGACCTTCAACTCTTCGTCATAATCCTGACTGAAACCCTAACCCCAACCCTTCTGAAAACCCCGAACCAAAAGCCCGAAACCCTTAACCCCGAACCCTGAAAGCATCACGAAGACAGAAGCCCCTTTATAATCCTCCGAGCCCCAATCCTTATCCTTTAATCCCTGAACCTGAATCCCTCTAAACCCTACACCCTGAACCCCAAGTCCGAGAAAAGGAAGCCCATAATTTCCCTACACCCTAAACCCTAAACCCATAAGTTCGCGTAAGATTGGAGCAAACGGCCTCACCGTTGGTTCCGGCCGGCTTCGGCGCTCTTCAACCAGTGCCTTGGATTTTGCGCGATTTCCATTGCTTGCTTGATTTAAGGGTTTAGAGTTAAGGCTTGAGGGGGTTTCAGGGTTTCTTAGTGGCTGAAAGAGTATAGTGTTCTACACTTGTTGGTATCATAATTCCTAAACCCCCAAGAAGTGACAGTTAATC